TCTCTCTCTCTTTCCGTCCACCGTTGGAGCCTCCTCTCTCTTTCCGTCCATCCATCCTTTTTGCCTCCTCTCTCTCTCTTTCCGTCCACCGTTGGAGCCTCCCTCTCTCTCTCTTTCCGTCCACCGTTGGAGCCTCCTCTCTCTCTCCGTCCATCCATCGTTGTTGCCTCCTCTCTCTCTCTTTCCGTCCACTGTTGGAGCCTCTCTCTCTCTTTCCGTCCACCGTTGGTGCCTCTCTCTCTCTTTCCGTCCACCGTTGGAGCCTCTCTCTCTCTCTCTCTCCGTCCACCGTTGGAGCCTCCTCTCTCTCTCCGTCCATCCATCGTTGTTGCCTCCTCTCTCTCTCTTTCCGTCCACTGTTGGAGCCTCTCTCTCTCTTTCCATCCACCGTTGGTGCCTCTCTCTCTCTTTCCGTCCACCGTTGGAGCCTCTCTCTCTCTCTCTTTCCGTCCACCGTTGGAGCCTCCTCTCTCTCTTTCCGTCCACCGTTGGAGCCTCCTCTCTCTCTCTGTCCATCCATTGTTGTTGCCTCCTCTCTCTCTCTCTCTTTCCGTCCACCGTTGGAGCCTCCTCTCTCTCTCTGTCTTTCCGTCCACCGTTGGAGCCTCTCTCTCTCTCTTTCCGTCCACCGTTGGGGCCTCTTCTCTCTCTCTCTCTCTCTCTCTCTCTCTCTCTCTTTCCGTCCACCGTTGGAGCCTCCTCTCTCTCTCCGTCCATCCTCTGTTAATCTTTCTCTCTCACAGTGCACAAAGCAGTTGATCTCAGAAAGGTTTGGCCGCTGCTCTCGCACGGTGGATTTGGAGCTGGAGACTCAGATCGAACTCTTGAGGGACCCCTCTTACTCTCTGTTGGCCATCATTGTCCCATCTCTTTGTTTATCACCCATTGCTGTCTCCTCTGACTCTGTTAATCTTTCTCTCTGACAGTGCACAAAGCAGTTGATCTCAGAAAGGTTTGGCCGCGGCTCTCGCACGGTGGATTTGGAGCTGGAGACTCAGATCGAACTCTTGAGGGACACGAAGAGGAAATATGAAGGTGTCTTGCAGCTGGCCAGAGCCCTGACCGCTCATTTCTACAGCCTGGTTCAGACGCAGCGAGCGCTGGGGGACGCCTTCTCCGACCTCAGCCAGAAATCACCAGAGTTGCAGGTTAGGGTTCTGTTATATATCAATAAATTCAATAAGTATCAGTCCCCTCTCCTGATCTATGTTGTCATTGGCTCACCTCTCAAAAGCTATTAGTATTTATTTAACATCAATCAATTTTGCTCTTCCTCTTGTGTGGGTGTGATCTTTTGGGCTGACATCATTCAGTGTCCTGCTCTTTTCAGCATTATAGGAAAGAACACCTCACTGGCATCCCTTTAGTCGTGCATCCCTTCTGGCCCCTGGGTGCTGCAGACGTTAGCTGAGCAATCTGCTGATCAGTTGCTTGATTACACTATTAGAGTATGATCATGCAGATTTGACCGCAGAGATGAGGCAAATTATAAGGTTTGCATGGCTAAAGTCTGCACCACCCAGTTGCCAGCTGAGATGCACATTTAAAGGAATGCTGGGGATGTGTTATTTCGTATAGCGCTCCATGCAAGGTGCTATGATGTTTACAGGAGAGCCTACCTGGCCCTGCCACCAACTTGATCGTACTAGCAAAAACAGACAGCAGGAAGACCCAGTGATGATGTCACTATGTCTCAAAAGAGGTATTTCTTGAAGACCAAATTAATTTATTTAAAAATGTTAATTTCATATTGATTTGGAAGGGGGGGAATGCATAGATTAAACTTTGACTTCAATATATTTGAGACATTCTTCCTCTCTTTATTGATCAGTGATCTCAGTGATAGTTGATTGGTGTGGTCAATTGATCTGTATGTGACATTCCCCTCATCAGTGAATGGTTTATTATGGGTGATCATGTTACCTGTATATGACACACCTCTTGCTGCACCGTTTAGCAGCGTTATCACAGTGATGGTATCCTTATTATGGCTGCAATGACTTCTAGTTTTCAGAAGCTGCGGGTCTGAGGTTTCTGGGTAATTCCTTCATGTTGTTATTACAGGTATTTATATAGCTCTGACAGTTTATACGCTTACATACTGTACAGTCACATTAGTCCCTGCCCTTCAAATAGAAGTGACACCAAAACACAGACAGCAATACAAACCTGGCAGCAATACAAACCTGAAAGCAATATAAACCTGGCAGCAATATCAACCACATGTTCTAATCCATCTCCAATACAATATAAACCTGCCAGCAATACAAACCTGGCAGCAATGCAATCCTGGCAGCAATGCAATCCTGACAGCAATGCAATCCTGACAGCAATGCAATCCTGACAGCAATGCAATCCTGACAGCAATGCAATCCTGACAGCAATGCAAACCTGACAGCAATGCAAACCTGACAGCAATGCAAACCTGACAGCAATGCAAACCTGACAGCAATGCAAACCTGACAGCAATGCAAACCTGACAGCAATGCAAACCTGACAGCAATGCAAACTTGACAGCAATGCAAACCTGACAGCAATATCAACCACCTGTTCTAATCCATCTCCAATACAATACAAACCTGAAAGCAATATAAACCTGGCAGCAATATCAACCACGTGCTCTAATCCATCTCCATACTATCCAAACTAACAATTTAGATTTGGCTTCAGTTGCGTTTTAACCAGTTGAGGCAGTTTCTTAATTTTTGCACACACATGCTAAAAACTTAATTATTATTGGCTAGAAAACAGCTTAAAGGACAATTAAACCCTCAGCGTGTTTTTGCATATATATATATAAAAAGCTAACAAGCAGGAGATATATCCAAACACATTTAAAAAAGTCAACAAAAAGGTAAAAACTTACCTGTATCTCCGCTGCGCTCCCGTCCGAAGATCTGAAGATTCTCAGGCGGCCGCAAAGGATAGTGTGGCAGGCGCATGCACAGTAGAGATCTTCGGCCGGTAGAAGAGGAGAGACACAAGGTAACTCCAATGCAGGCAGCCCGGCAGCGTGCACCCGCAAAAATTCCGTGGGACAGGAAGAGAGAGGAGTTGACGCTGGATCAGAGACCGGCACCAGCGCTCGAGGGACTCCTGAAAACTACAGGAAAGAAGAAGATGATCGAATCAAGAGGCATAATTTAAGGTAAGTCCTTAAAGCAGCATGGGGATTTTTTTTTACTTTAATGTCACTTTAAAACCCCCCCAAACAATGATATTTTTTGGAAAGACGGAGGCCCTGTAAAATTAAAACTCTTGTAGCAATATTTTATGCTAATTAAGAAGCCCTCCTATGTGGCAGCACAGATACAGTGACAGGTCCTCTTTATGAAGACATCAGGGGTCTAGTAGACCCCTAATGTCACCTATGGACTTCAAGGAAGCTGGTGAAGCAGAGACTTTACTTCATCAGCTTCCTCTTCAGCCACAGCACCCGGAGAAATGACAGACTGGAAGTGACGAAATACACGTCGCTTCAGGTTTCAGTGATCGGACAGCAGATCAGTTGCTGGAAGTGTTGCTCTCCCTATGGTCAAGGTGCAGAGACACGCCGTGCTAGGTCTGGGCCCACATGGGGGACAGAGGAGCCCGGGATAGCTGACAGCGGAGGAGGAGCAAACACTCCCCAGCTGCATACAAGTGATTGGGTGGCTCGGTCTACACCCGCCCAAACCCTTGTATGTTACAGCTAGGAGCTGGCTATAAAGGGTACCAAAATCACCATTGCTGCAGCAGTTATGATCTTGGAATAATAATTTCAGGACCACGCCATTTACATACGTACGGCGGTCCTGAAGTGGTTAAGCGGCCTACAATCTAAGGTCTCTATCTAACATACATGCATGCATACATACATGCACTGACATACTAGGGAAAATTTTAGACTGAAGCCAAGAGTGTGGGAGGAAACCAGAGGGGAACATGCAAACTCCATGCAGGTTGTGTCCTGACTCGGATTCAAACCGAGGACCCCAGTGCTACAATTCTACATACAACCACTAAGCCGGTGTGCCATTTTTCTTTCCTCTCGGCAGGAAGAGTTTGGCTACAATGCAGAGACTCAGAAGCTCCTGTGTAAGAACGGGGAAACCCTGCTGGGGGCCATTAACTTCTTCGTGTCCAGTATCAACACCCTCATCAACAAGACCATGGAGGACACTCTGATGACCGTCAAGTTATACGAGACAGCCAGGTAAACATCACACACCCTGTAGCGACGGGTCACACAGGCAGCATCATCATCCCGAGTATCTGGGGGACATACTGTCATTGGCAGCTGGGGCATGGAAGGTTTTGGAAGAATGTACCGGGCCCTGGTCTCACTAAGGAACCACTCATCTAGAGTTTTGGAAGTAGTTCTACGGAAAAGGTGCTTTAATTAGGCCTCATTCACACGAGAAACGGGCGGTCCCTACAGCTCCGTGCTGCGTGCAGGGCCGTATCGGGCATCTCCCGGGAAGGACAGGTGCTGTGTGTGATTAGTACGCAGCCCCCGTCCTTCTCTATGGGACTACGCGTCCGTACGCCGCCCTACGTTCACCCCCAAGTGCAGGTCCGTAGGGTTGCGTGCTTCCTGACTCGGACGCAGACAGGATCTATCCTGTCAGCTTAAAGGAGAACTATGAGGGGGGAGGGGGTGATTTCCACTCACCTCATAGTTCTAGCCGACCTGTGACAATGAGACTGTCACAGGTCGGCTCAGTAGATCGGGAGGTGAGCGAACACATACCGGCGTTCACTCACCTTCCGATCCTGTCACGGCTCTCCGCCGCGACAGGGGGAGGGGCTGGATTCCCCCTTCCCCGCTCCCATCCTCCAGCACTGACTGGCGGAACGGACAGGGAGGGGGCGGGTACAGCTGGCTCTGCCTCTAGATAGGCAGAGCCAGCTGTAACTCACGCAGCTGGGCGGATCCCGTCATCTACGTCGGGATCCGCTCCGGCGTCTCAGTATATAGGGAGCTGTAGCTCGCGGTATACTGAGCTTAGGGTGACGGGAGGACGCTAGTTTGTGTCCTCCCGTTACCCTAAAGAGAACTATGGGGGAAAGCCCTGACCCCATAGTTCTCCTTTAAGAGTAAGGACACCTGCACCTGTACGGACGTGCAGGTCGGGTGAGCGTAGGGCGGCGTACGGCCGCATAGTCCCATAGAGAAGGACGGGGGCTGCGTACTAATCACCGCAGCACCTGTCCTTCCCGGGAGATGCCGGATACGGCCGTGCACGCAGCACGGAGCTGTAGGGGCCGCCCGTTTCTCGTAGGAATGAGAGCTTATAAGTTGAATGGAACCAAAATACTAAAAGCTTAAGAAAAAATAACATTCACTGTAAGTTAGCAGACTTTAAGAGGTTTTCTCACTTTGTATGTACTGTGAACACTCTGTTATTCCTAGAATCTGCCAAACGTTTCCCATATTTGAATTTTTCTTTGGGGATATGGGACAGGAAGTTGGCTGTGCATAGAACACCCCCCCCCAACAATTATACAATTGCGCCTCCATTTCCTCGACATCTAAACCCAAGAACACAATTAGTGACTCTACCAGTAACACTTCCTGTACCTGAGTGACAACACTCGCCCTACTTTATCTGAGGAGGAGCAGCGTTGTCTCCCTAGGAGAGGAAGTGTTAGGACTACAGAACAACTTTCCCTCTACTCTACTCCATAACATGGGGAAGAGGATTTCTGTAGTTCACAGAGAGAACTGGGAACAGTGTAACTCATAAGAGTGCAGCACTTGCAGAAAGCACAGGAAGTTATCAGCTCACTGGATTTCTGGCAGGATTAACAGAATTTATTATGCACTTATACCATTTGAGGGGTTTTGTACTGTCCGTTTGATATTTAACAGCAGGGCTGTCTTTACCGCAGGGAATTTTGGCTGCCTGAGGTCCCGCGTTTGCTGGGGACCTTACGGGTACCTGTTGCAGTTAGGGTTGCCACCTGTCCGGGATTCACCCGGACAGTCCAGTTTGAGTCCTGTGTCCAGGTTTAAGGCCAGCTGACACCAGGACAAAAGACACTAAGTGCTGGCCAGAGGTCCCGTGCTGCTGGGGACCTCGGCAGCCTTCCTGTGAGCCGCAGGTGCCTGTAAACATCTCTGTCTTCCTGACACCATACTGCCCGCCCCTGGTGAGACAGCCCACACAGCACTCCTGAAAGCCTGCATAGCCCACCTGAGAGCCCGCATAGCCACCTGAAAAATGCTGCATGCAGCGCTTGTGTTCGGGTTTCACTTGAAGAAAAGGTGGCAACCCTAGTTGCAGGGGAGAGGAGGGTGGGCATCACATTTGGCCAATGTGTTATGGCTTTTTTAATGGATGTCCGTCTTCTCATTCTCACCACTAGATGGCAGGCTGGTTCTACAATCCTCCTGTACATGTATTGGGTTCCTTTGGTAATGTTCACATTGCTTCTGATCCTACAGTATAGCTCACAGCTATCTCCATTCTAGAGAGACCGTCCCTGCTCTGTACTGATGGGCATTTTTGTTTTGTTTTTTTGGTCAGCATTTGTCCAGGTTACATAGTAAAACAATATGCAGTGCATGTTCCAAATATACTTCCAGGTTACCTCTGTGGTTCCTATTAATGTTTTGCATGAACATGACAGATGTTCAAGCACAAACAAGAGGCGCCTTTCCCGGTGCAGACAAATTTTATTTAAGATAACAACAATAGTGTATGAGAAACATACCCACAAAGGTGGACATGATTAAAGCATTGTAAGTGGATACATGGACCAAAGAAGAAGCCAGTGTAAGGCTGGGCACACACCTTACAACCATCGCAAGACTTTTGTCTTGCGATGGTTGTAAGGTACTTAAAAAAACGTACAATCTGCCTATGTTGCATAGGCAGATGGTACTTGCGATGATCGCAAGCCACGCCCCCTGAGGGGCGGGCTTCCGATGACCGCAATGCCGAACGGGCAGCGTGCGCTTGCGCACACCAGCCCGTACGGCTGTTATCGTACGGACATGCCACAAACCCGCCGAAGGTCGTACGATGCTCGGCGGGTATTCGAACATGTCCGTAAGTTCAAAGTCGTGCGACCTTACAGTAGTAGAGGTCGCACGGCTTCCACACACCTTTCCCGTGATTATCGTATGGTGTGTGGGGACCTTAAGCTGCAGGTATCTGATGAAGGGGGGCGTGACACCGGAAACGCGTTATCATCACAGCCTACCTTGCTGGCACACAGGCACGGCTTTGCAGCTAACACTGGCTTCTTCTTTGGCCCATGTATCCGCTTACAATGCTTTGATCATGTCAACCTTTGCGAGTACGTTTCTCATCCACTATTGTTTTTCTCTTAAATAAATGTGTCTGCAGCAGGAAAGGCGCCCCTTGTTTGTGCTTTTTTTCCCAGATTTTGCACTCCCCCTGGCTGGTTTGGGGCAACGTCCTGCAGATTTTCTACTACATCCCTCTCTTTTTAAACAGACTTTGCACTCAATTGCACACTTTTTTTTTCTGGTGGAGCAGTCCCATTTGGCGCTTTGTTTTGCACATATCTGTAATGACAGATGTTCAGAAGACGTTGATTGTATACATATTCTGTAATTCTGTGCCTCACAGACTTGAATATGATGCTTATCGCGCTGACTTAGAGGAGCTGAGCCTGGGTCCACGGGATGCAGCCACCTTGAACCGCATCGAGATCGCCCAACAACATTTCCAGATACATCGTATGAAATATGAGAAGCTGCGTGGAGATGTTACCATAAAACTGCGCTTCCTGCAGGAAAATAAGGTAATAGGAAAACAATCCCATCACTTCTGAAACGGTTAACTTAATCCAAATTGTTTAGCCTTCCTACCAATCACAAAACTATCTACACAACTAACTTGACTATTCACCTCGCCATGACTGCCGGTGGTCGCCCTACGGACCCATGCCCTTTGGTTCCTCTACTGACTGCTCACCATGACTGCCATTGACGGTACTCACTTCATTACATCACTCGGTGGCAAACTCGCCAAGACCCACCCACCATTCTGACCACCAGTCACCCCGTTGACCTCCCTATGACCACCAGTCACCCTGCTGACTTTACCATAAGCCCTATGTGCCCTGCTGACCTCACCATGACCCATCATGCTTCACCGGTCACTCTGCTTCCTATGACAGCTAGTCACTTTGCTGATTTCAACATTACAGCTAGTTACTATCCTGACCTCACAATGACAGCAGGTTGCTTTGCTGACCTCCCCATGGCTTTTAGTCGTCTACTGACCTCACCCTTACTGCCATTGACTGTAATGATTTCAAAATGGCATCACTAAAGGCCAAATCCAAACTCTCCAAGACCACCAGCTATTTCACCAACGTCGCAATGACCTCTAGCCATTCAACTGATTTCACCTCGAACACCAGGTACTCTTCTGATATCACCATTACCACCAGACCCTGGGCCAAATTAACCATAACCGCTAATAACTATGCTGATGTCACCATGACAGCTAGTCCCTCCTCCTAACTCACCATAAGTAAAATTACTTCTGCTGACCTCACCATGTCCAATAATAAATCTGTTGACCTTATAATAAACATATAGAAGGTTTGATTTTTGTCTGCTCATTCTCTTTGAACAGGTGAAGGTCATGCACAAACAGCTGCTTCTCTTCCATAATGCCATCTCCTCCTATTTTGCTGGGAATCAACAACAACTGGAAGCTTCACTGCAGCAATTTAACATCAAGCTTAGCAGTGCGGCCAGTGACAAACCCTCGTGGTTGGAGGAGCAGTGACTCCCTCTCCCCGCCTGTACATTTGTGATTGCGTGTGTTATATATATAAATATGTCATTGTTGGTGTGCATGAAGGATAGGAGTATGGTGTTGGCAAGTGTTGCTGTGTGAGTGGAGTATAGTTCAGGTTTTGAAGAGTGAGTGAAGGATGTGTTGCGGAGTCTGACTGTTGGCATTTTACAGCTCGCAGTGTAGGTCACCAGAATTCATGTTTATTTTCTATGTAAGATGTCCATTAAATTCCAGTTTTGCTGCTTTGAGTAATTGGGGCCGGGGTTAGTCAGAGACCCTGAGCCCAATTTGAATCTTTTTGTGGACCATGATGTGTACCTTTCCCACACTTCACTGTTCCTCCCTAACTAGAAAAAAAACATTTCTGGTAAATACGTTTCTGGCACTTTCTGTGCTCATCATTCTAAAGGTCGTCTGCTCCCTTCCACTCCTTCAAAAATTCCATTCACTCTTTGTGATGCTTGTCAGTATACTCTGCTCTTCATACAAACTATTTGCTGTCCAATTCCCTGATCCACTCTACTGCATTGTACTAATAACCTCAGCCAGTGCACTCTCTGCTCTTCCAAAGATCCTTCCAGTTCTCTCCTCATAATACCTTATTCACTATAGACCCCATTCTTTCCCAAGATTCATCTGCTCTTCACTCCACTCTGTTATTGACTTTATACTCCACTCTACCACACATCACATCTACTCTCCACTCCATTCTACATCCCATGTTCTGTACCACACATCACATCTACACTTCATTCATCTCCACACATCACATGCCATCTCCTCCACCATACATCCCATCCACTCTATACTTCATCCTTACACATATCTCATCCAAGCTACACTCTGCTCTTCCATTCTTCTCATCCATTCTACACTCCGCTCTTCCATACATCTCATTCTCTCTACACTCCGCTCTTCCATACATCTCATTCTCTCTACACTCCGCTCTTCCATAATTCTCATCCACTCTTCCATACATCTAATTTGCTATACACCCCGTTCTTGCATACATCTCATCTACTATACATCCAGTTCATCTACTCTCATCCAATATACACTCCACTCCTCCATACATCTCATTCCCTCTCTACTCTGGTCTTCCATACATCTCATTCCCTCTCTGCTCCTCCATACATCTCATTCCCTCTCTGCTCCTCCATACATCTCATTCCCTCTCTACTCTGCTCCTCCATACATCTCATTCCCTCTCTACTCTGCTCCTCCATACATCTCATTCCCTCTCTACTCTTCCGTACATCTCATTCCCTCTCTACTCATCTCATCCAATCCCCACTTATATGAAAAAACAAATCAGGACAAGGGGTATCCTGCAGAATAAATTATGGAAGCTTATTCTAAATACCTCTCACCTATTCCTAAACCAGAAAAACAAAAGGATAATGGCACAACAGACATTCTATTTACCACCCAATTCAGTCACGACTATAAATCCATCAAACAGGTCATTAACTGGCACCTTTTGTTGCAAGATCCAAAACTAAGTCCAGTGCTGCCAGAAATTCCTCAAATCATCTTTAGAAAAGCACAGACCATCTAAAATATAATAGCCCCCCAGTAAATTCCTCTGGAGGCACCAATAAATGCATTTATTTCTTTTCTTTTCTTTATGCTCCTTAGCACCAGCTAGGGTGCATAATGAGATATCACATGGGAAAAAAAAATCTGAAAATACATTGCCTTGTAAATAAACAATTAAAGAACATTTGTTGTGGAACTTATCTGCAAAGAGCCCTGCGAATCGTTTATAACTAGGCCATGTCCATTCACCATGTTCTTTTCGACTGGTGCCCCATCTGTCCCAGTCTGTAAGACGAAAATCAATCTCTATATGTATGGTTCACTTTACAATTATTTTTTTATCCTTGCACATCATTATATATATATA